TGTGTGGTTAAGTATATATAAATATAAATATAGATCTATACACACACACACACACATATATATATATATATATATATGTATATATATAGAAATATAAACATACATACATACATACATACATACATACATACACGCATACGTATATATATATATATATATTATCTATCGAAACATATACCAAGCATCAGTGCGCAACCAAGTTTTTGACGATCTGACTTTACTACAAGCCTGTATCAATGCTTAGCTACGAATGATGAAATATGTGCTAAAGCCGAAGTGTAAATGTCGCTTACCTTGTGCAGAGCTACCGAGGCATTTGGCTTTAATAACTCACGGTCAATAGTACTGAGAATACGAACATAGTAGTTGCTGCCGGTCGTAGACCCCACAATTCCGGAGTTCTGGTCAATGGCTTCCAAGAACTGACCAATGACCAAAGGAACAGACTGGATTCGCTTGACCTATACATGCGAGAGGATGGCGAGAGTGAGGCAAGTGCAAGCGTTGGAATAGTATTATATTAGTACTTGAGCTTGCAAAATAAAATAGAATCACTGCCGAACTCAAAACACATCCAGGCGATTAAAGCTTCGCGAGTTCACCGAACCAGTACTTACAACACAAATATCAAGACATCAGTGAAATATAGGGCTCGTAAAACCGAGTACCGAAACGCGCAGAGGTATATGAGAAAACTAAACAAACAAGGGAAATTATACGCACGCAACTATCAATCTCAGGCCATTTACCTCTTCCTGAGCACGTAGATACTCTCGCTTCAAATTTGTTTGTTCGTCAATAATATACTTCTCTTGCACCTCGATGAATTCCAACTCATGTTGCAGCTTCTTCAGTCTTGTGTATAGATCTTCACTGTCGGTTCCAGTAGATCGCTAAGAAGTAGGTTACCGGTATAAAACTTAATTTCAGAAATAGGAGGGCAACAATAACAGAAACAAATATTCAATTTACCTACTGCAATATTCGAGATGTACATGAATTTTGGAATGAACATTTAGCCAGTGGGAAAAATAATAACGAAAGTATTAGTTTGCGAGAATTAATCAAAAAAAAATGTAGACACGCTTACATATATACACATATGTGTAACAAACGCGCACAAACGCGCACATATAAACACCCGATTTTGTAGATGAATAATCTACTAAAAATACACATAAGACATCAACATATATATATATATATATATATGTATATATATATATAAACACATATACATACATATACATAAATACACATACATATATATACACATACATATATATATACATACATACACACACACACAC